CATATGGGTGGCCCTTCTCTGGACTCTCTCAAGTTGTACCACATCCTTGTTAAAGTGTGGTGCCCAGAACTGGATGCAGTACTCCAGTTGGGGTCTCACCAGAGCCAAGTAGAGAGGAAGAATCACCTCCCTGGTCTTCCTGGAGATGCATCGATTGATGCACGCCAGAGTATTATTTGCCCTGCTGGCAACAGAGTCTCACTGCCGGCTCATTCATATATAACTCCATTGCTACAACTCTACATTGTTTTGTTTATACATTAGCCTTTTTGGCCACAAAAATCACACTGAGAGCTCATGTTCATTTGGTTATCTTGGCATTATCTTTAACTAGCATTTACTGGGTCCCAAGATGGAGTGCTATGTAATAATGACCTGCATTCTTTAGTCCTAAGAGGTAGGTTCTCATATTTGGTTGTATTGAAGCACATTTTGGGCATGTCTGCATGAGACATTTACTGAACAGTAGACTAATTAGCTGTGCAGTAAACATTGCATATCTATATGTGTACCTCTCTTTGGCTGGAATAAACAAATTTACTCTGCAGTGTCGCATGTGTATCATAGAATCATAGAATCAATGAGTCAGAAGGGACCTAGACAGATCATCTAGTCCGACCCCTTGCCATGGGCAGGAAGGAGCACTGGGGGTGGCAGGGGTCATAAGACCCCAGCCAGGTGCCTATCCAGTCTCCTCTTGAAGATAAGTGTAGATGCTGCCCTGGCTGGCTGGGACATGAGGATGCTTCAGTGCAGAGACTGCCTCCTGGCTAGGTCTGCAATGAAGCCCTGTCGTGCCCCACCCAGCCCCTCTACAGCATGCTGAGCCAGGGGGAGCAGCCCTGGGCTGGCAGGCAGGCCTGTGGGGCCCCTTGCTAGCCAGGGCTGCTCCAACCTGGTTCAACATGCTGTGGTCCCAGATGGACATGAAGATGCAGCACCTGGGAGCAATAAACTCCAGAGTTTATTTATGTGCATTAACTGCATGTGTAGACATACCCACTGCTTGCTTGTGCACAAAGACAAGTGATTAAGTATCAGTAATCTGTATTCTTAATTTACTGCTCCCCCAATCTGAGGTTGCATCCTCAGACGGGATTTGGAGAAAAGAAATGCAAGAACCACCTACCAGACCAGATCACTTCTTGCCTTAGGGAAAAATGAAACTATTCTCCTGCAGAGAAGCAAAATGAAAACAGTATCATAGACTACACTCAGAATTTCTGGGACTAAAGGAATTGTAAGATTTACTTAAGGAAAACATCCAGCTAGGAGGCCAAGGAGCAGTAAACAATATAACCACCACTTCCCCACTACTGCTGTAAGACACTGTAGCAAAGTCCTCAGAAAAAAACACAGGCTGTTACACCACTGTTCAGAGATATTGAAACTGCACATCCCATAATATTTTTGCCTCTGAAAATAAAAAGGGCAGCCAGCCCACTGTAAGTAAGCTTGCTAATTTAGCATTTTGTTTGCCACATCTTATTGTGTGGCATCCTATTTCATAATTATAGTCTTAATTTGAGGAAAACTCGATTTGATGATGTGATATGTATATGTTGGTGGTTTTTTTACTTACCTCAGATTTGTGCAATCCTCAGTCTGTATATTTTATTGCCTGAGGAATTCCTAGACCTGGCTAGTAAAAATCAGTACTTCTCTTCTGTGGTTGACTATTAGCAGTTTCTTTAATACATGTTTTCAGAGAGATATTAGGATTTGTCTTTTCAGGTATTGTACACAAATTCAATAACTTTTGTGTGCCCAAGTGATCCTGTAACCCTGTGTGTGTAATTTTCATTCAGTCGGTATGAATTTAGAACTAGGTCCTCTGGGTCTTTTCTCAAACTTGTGAATTCAATTAAAAGATTCCCATTGACTCTAAAGGACCTTGGTCTCATACTAGTAGTAATTTAAGAGCAGGAAGAAGTCATTAGGCTTGGTAATTTATAATATACTGTATATTTGAGGAGACTGTACATAACAGTGACCTCAACATTCTTGCCCTTCCCTTTAATTAAACTTAAGAGAAATAGCATACTATAGGAATTTAATTTGAACAAATAATCCCCTCAGGTATAGTCTGAAGTGTAATATAAGATTCAGGACATCTGTTTCAGCTACAAAGTTTTTACTTTCTCTAAAGGGATAATTAGCTCTAGTCTATAAAGTGTAAGCACTAGAAGTTTATTTTTTCTCTGTTTTTCGTTCCTTCTTTCCAGGCAATATGATAATCTATATAAAAGGTCACCAAAAATAAAACTACAAATTGGTTTTAAAAAATCATCTACAATTCAGAATGACTCATAGGCTCTTTTCTTGGCTCAGCCAGTGACTCATTGTAAGATTCTTGGTGAAAAATTCATAGCTAGTCTGTGACAGTTTACTTATAAAAGGAGCATAAAACTCTAACTACCATTCACTAATAATTATTGAGTATCTATAATGAACTTGGAGCAGAAAAGTTTTTTATAAAAGTGCAAAACAAAGTATTATTTATGAGAATAGAATCATAGGAAAGAAGCTATGCCGTGAAGTATTTCAGTGTTTCAGTCTGAAGCACTCAAATTATTATTATCATCATCACCATTATTATTATTAATAATGATAACAAAAGACAAAGTCATTTAAGCCAATTACATACTTAGAGTTTGTGTTGTTTGCCTTCTGATTATTGAAGCTGTAGGGTACATATTATCTACTTTTTTCCTCAAACCATGAGGACCAGAAGCTAATTTTTAAATAAAAGCTGAGATTTTCATATAATCATGTAACTGGATACCCTGGGGTTTTAAGAAATATTCAATATCAAGATCTGAGACTAAATAGAACAGTTGTCAATATTGCAGCTGGTGCCTGGCAGAGCTTTAGAACTGCTGGTTACTTGTGCTCAGTAGCATAAAAATGGGTGGGCCTCTGGTGCCCATTTAGATGGGGCACAAAAACAGCTGCCCCTGCTGCCTCTTCTTTTGCCCAAGATCCCTATTTTGTGTGACAAGCATGCCAAGAAGGCTAGCCTGGGGTGTGTTTCAAGAGCTAGTAAATCAATCAACGTTTTCAAAAATGGGTGAAAGCTCCTCATGTCTTAGCCATGTTAAGAACAGGATTCCATTGACGGATTAAGCTGTCTAGGATCCATTCATTCACTACGTGAGATTCCTCAGGCAGAAATTCTAGTCCTAAATACAAGGAAGTCCATATTACAGTGTGCCTGATTTATATGTCCTGGATAGGTGTATTAGTTGCTTACTTGCAAGAAATTTCAGTTATCTGCATAACAATTATCTGCATAGCATCTTTCTATGTCACTGCCTACTTTGTAAATTAACTGTACTCTGTGAACTACTGACTGTAACTGTAACTGTCTAATTTGTATCTCATTGGATTACCTGTAACAGTGCTGGCCACAGTGAAGGAAAAGCTCCTTTGAATCATCTATTAGAACCCTTGAAAATGAAGAGAGCTAGTTCATTTTAAGACTGCTAATATTACAACACAGGCAATTTTGTAAACCAGGGCAGTTCAACTTTTGGGCAGTGGAGGGGCTGCAGGTACCTGGGCTGCATACTGCAGGGGCTGCACACTGTGGGGACTGCCAGGGTTCAAGTTACACTTTGACTCTTGAGATGGGGTGTCTGCAAAAATAATTAGGCTGTGCATCACAATGCCCTAATAAAATCAGAGACCTCCCCAGGTTATGATTTTCAAATCTTATAGGGGTTCTTTCATGTCTTATGGGGGGACTTAGCCCCTCCCCCTGTTTCCCTGTAATTCAACCCTGCTCCCCTCACCTTGCTGCCCAACTCTTTGCTCCCAGCTGCATAGGCAGCCTGGTTCCTTTCCATACAGCTGCTTGCAGATTGTGGGCAGCACAGGTCTCTCCCAGGCTCCACTTGCACTGTATCACACCACCCTGCCCTCAAGAGCAGGGCAGGAAGTAGAAGGCCGAAGAGACAGGGGTGCCAAATATTCTTGACCACTATAGCAGCCAAATTAAATGGGGGCATCAGAATCCCAAGACCTCTGGGCTTGGGCCTGCACACAGGATGCCTGCTAATGGATTTGGGAATATCCAAAGTCCCAAGGTGACAGCCTGGGATGGAGGATGCTTGCCAGTTGTAGCGCCGTACATGGTGTTCAGAATGATTGAGTTCTGCCTGCTCAATCAATACGGTTTTTGGAATGACTGAATTCTCCTCAGTTGATATGATTTGGAACTGATTTGGCTGATTTGACCTGGAATACAAAATATATTAATTAAAATTAAAAAAAAAAAATCTGTTCTCATCTGTTTAATCGCTGCTACGTCCTTGATGTGAGGCCTGACACATTAAATGTATTTTTGGTGCCAGGAGAGGGCCTCAGAGCTTGCTCCAGCCACTCCAGGCATCTGCCAGCTTGGCATTGCAGTGCCACAGCAATGGGGGCAGTGGTCCTCAGGCAGGAGCTATTGGGCTGCCAGCTGGACACCTCTCCTGCAAGCAGTGCTCTTTACATGGGGCAACTGCTGTGGTACTGCAGCACCCGTGAAATAAACTAGCTCTCCTTATTTCTAATAGGTGACCCAAAGAAATAAGATATGAGGGGGAAGAGTAAGTTAGAGCTGCACTGACTGTTCACACGGAGTTGGGAAAAGGGCACCCCCAGGCTGCTGCTTTGGAGGCGCACGAAGGGGGGCTGCGTCGCCGGCGCTGCAGACCCTGCAGAGAGGCTCTGGCTCTTGGGACGCGACCCTGCGCCCGCGCCAGCCCTCATGGGGCGGACCACGCGTCATAGGAGGCGGGACTTGGGGGCTCTCCCCGCCACGCCGATTGGTCCGTGACTGGCGCTGTCCCATCGAAACCCTGGCCGAGCAGCCACGGCGACGGTTGCCACGGCAACAAGGTGGCGTCGGGCTGTTCTAGTCCCTGTTCTCACCTCCCCCAACCGCAGCGCTTCGCTAACCGCCTCCGGGCAGAACGGAGTAGAAGAAAGCAAGGGGGGCGGCGGGCGACGGGAATTGCTCTCGCGAGACTTCCGGGCGTCCCTAGCAACCGCACGAGCGGCGGGGGAGCGGGAGGCGATGGACACGGAGGCGGCGGCCGGAGCGGAGGGGCCCTTCTGCCTGCAGCGTATCCTCCCCGCGCCGCCCGTGAGGGACGGCGGGAGGCCGTTAGCGGAGGGGGGAAGGAAGCGGGGCGGGGTGGGCGCCCCAGTCCATTGAGCAATAAACGTAACGTGCCGCGGCGCAATATCTGTTAACGTGCCACAGCGCAATCTACGTAATATACGTAACATGCCGCGGCGCAATATACGTAACATATATTGCGCTGCTCTACCTACATGTGTAACCAGCCGCGGCGCAATATACGTAACGTGCTGCAGCGTAATATATGGTAATGTGCCACACTGCAATATGCGTAACATTACGTAACATGCGTACCGTGCCGCGGCGCAATATACGTAACATATATTGCGCTGCACTATGTATGTGTAACGCGCTGCAGTGCGATATACGGGGCGTGCTGCAGGGGCCTGGGGAGGAGCTGCAGGGCGCAGCCCAATGGTTCCCTATCGGGACCGGGCGAGAGATTTGCCGCAGACCGGTGTAGTGCCAGCACACCCCGCTCTGCTGCTGGTCTTCCTGCGGCTCTTTACAAGAGGAGAGTTGCTCCCATGGCTTCCCCACGGTCACCAAGGGAGGGGGGAGGCAGAGCTGATGGTTTCTGAGGGGGCCTTGAGCCTCTTGGGGGGTTGCTTTGAGTTGGAGCAGGTTCAGAAATGTAGGGGTAGACAGGTGGTCCTGCTTGGACCACAGGGTTGAGGTGGATGGCCTCTGCCAAGTCCTACGTTTTGTATGATTTCACTCCAGTCAAGGGAGATGGGCGGTGGGGGGAGGGCATCTGAATCCCAAGGCCAGACTTGCACCTAGAGGATGCCTGCCTGGATTTGGGGAGTATCCGAAGCCCCAAACCAATGGAGGAGGAAGGGAGGAAGGATGCTAGCCCCATGGTAAAGCCACACAGACTTGATGACTGAGTGCTGCTCGGTCAAATTTTGAAGCCTGACTATTGGGCTTTTCCTGTTTGAATCTGGAGCTGATTTGGCTTTGAGGGGGAAGAAAAAAGTATGGATTATCATGTGTCTGTCTGTTCAGGCACTAATTTAACCAGTCACTGTTCCTGCTACCCTGACTGTCTCCAAGGGTCCTCTGCTTCTGCTGCTTCTAGCATAGCATAGGTGGCTTCCCTGGCTCTTCTGCTCTTTACTGTCCATATAGTGGATGCACTGTTGCCCAGCAATGCATGGGGAACTCTTCTCCCTTCCTGTTCTGTCTTGTGAACTCTTCAGTAGCAGCGGCCTTGCAGCTCTGTCTGCCATTCCGTCTCCACAATACTTGGTTCCTGGACCAGTTTACAGAATGGATATTTCAGACACTACAAGTTGTTTCTTAGGGTGAGAAAGAAGAAAGGAAGTTCTTCATGTGAGGCCACATCTGTATTTGTCTCTGAGAGAGGGGAAACAGATGCTCAGCAGCTAGCTAGCTGCCTGGATGTCTACAGCTACAGCTCTTGATGGCTAGTAGATGGCTTTAAAGAGCCTTTTACAAACCAGAACTGTTCTCCATGCCTCTCCTGACATGCTGCTGAGATACTCTACCAGGAGTTTGTAGATACATTGAGCACATACTTCTTAATCGTCCCATTGAAGTCAGTGAAGTTCATGCAGTTTTATCTTGGTGTTAAGGAAAACAGTGTGTTAAGGAAAATGTAATAGTTTGGATTTTTTTCTTTGTTTTTCTTTCTTCTTCTTGAATAAAGGCAAACAAGCTCAGACTCATTAAAAGACAAACTATTTTGGACTAAATCCTTAGAATTAAAAACAAAAGATTTGCAGAGAGAAACTTAGGTGCAGAAAGGTTTTTGAATATGCCAGTCCCTGGCTCTGTTTTCAATTGGTAGGCCTGTGTATTTCCATTTGAGTGTGTTACTGAATTTGCACAAGAAGCTTGGAGGTTTACATAGGTAGTGGATTATTTTGTAAAGAGCTCTTGCAAATACCTAGTTTGTATATACAGTATACATGTATGCCATAATACAGTGGTTCCCAACCCTTTTAGACAGTGGACTGGAAGTGACTGTGGACCAGCATACTGCAGATGAGTACAGAAAAGGGTTTGCTGCCGGTCCGCAGTATGCCAGTCAGTTCTGGACTTCCAGTCAGGCAGCCAACCCTCCTGTGGACTGGCAGCCAACCCTTTGTGGCCCGGGAGTTGGGAACCTCCACCATAATACAGTCCGCATAGTCATGCAGGTGGATACGTGCAACTGTTCATTGACCTGATCACTGAAAATCATACCTTACTCACTCAATGGCTACTCTGTTTATTTTGTGGTTTACAAGAGAAAAAGAGATCTCTCCAACTTTATATGAAGCTGGTATCTGAGATTTATGCTTTGTTTATTCTGTTTAGTACGTGGTTGCCAAACACGTACGTTCTAGGGAGTTGAGATTTCTTAACAGTTTTCTTGGAATTTAGCTGACCGTTTTGTTGATGCAGGATGCATATTTGAATATCCTAGTGTAGCTATATTGTTTCTGTCCTGAGTATAGCAGTAAAAACTTGCTTGCACCTAGAGCTAAGATCTAGGAAGCTGGTTGGGAATATTAAAACAAAAAATATGTCTCTTACCTAACCTTTTGTTTAATTTTAACTTGTGTTACATAAAGGGATTACCATATGAAATCACAATGTATGACATAATTTATTGCCAGCTTCCTTCCAGAATTGTTTCTCAACTTGAATATTTCCCTAAACTTACACAGGAAGAATGAGTGTTAACTGAATGCTTGAGGACATAATCAACCCTTTGCCATACTAACAAACACATTTGTTGCGCTTTCAAGAGACATGCCAATTTCTGTTTATTTAGAATGAGAAATATATATTTTAGCCTCTTGTTTCAAGGAAACTGCGCTGTTTTCTTGTTGTCTGTATAGGAAAGATGGGTTATAGTGAATTTAGAGGAGCCATGAACAATTTTCCAATTAAGTTTTACATTTTACAAGGTTCACTGATGCAATTGAATGTTCCTCTTAGGTCTTTTACTGTACAGCTACAGTAATTGTACTGAGGGTCCAACAGCAGCTTCAGTGCTTAATTTACTTGTGTTCTGTCCCAGAATGTGGATCTTCAGATGTACATTTGTGATATCATATCTCTAAATCTGCTTAAAAATATCTATTCAGAAAGGGCAAAATTAATTCAGAGGTTTAAAGGCAGTGCAGTTAGCCTCTATGATGCAATGGCTTTCTAACTGAGAACAGAATTTGGCCCACAGTATGTTAAGAGCAGAAACTCATTTCTAATGGCAGCAAAAAAAAGAGGTGATATTTTAATACGTATAAGCCTGTTATAAGAAGTCTGAGTGCTAAAGCCAAACTTAATTAGAATTGCATATGTGCATTCAAGGGCTGAAGCTACCCCTGAGTACATGAAGTTTGACTTTATGGAGATTGGGGAGAAGCTGAGATTTATAGACAGCTGGGTTTTTGTTTGTTTGTTTGTTTTGCTTTATTTTTTTGCAGTTATTTCAAAAACTGTCTAAATTCTGTGGAATTTACCACATTTCAGCTGTTTTAGACTTGACAAAATATCCAGAGGTTACCATAACAGAAGAATCTGAAGATGATTATCAATATGAAGAGGTAATCTAGTTAGGAGATGGTCTTAAGTGATACCTGTGGTACATGATCCATCTCTTTTTTTTTTTTGTGCATCAGCCACTATGATATCCTAATGACAAAGCAGTAAAACTTATTTAAAATACTATAAAATGTAATATATATTAAAGTACTATAAAATACTATAAATTGTGTTGTATATCATGCTAATATATATATTTAGTTTTACAATAGGAACTACTAGCACTTGGCTTGCTGTGTTTCATTTGTATTTGCATAATTCGTTCCGAAAAATACCAGTTATTCATTTTAGCTGATTTCAGCTAATTTGTAATGAACTTTCATTTACCTGCTCATTTAAATACAGTTACATATTTGATATAGTTATATCATATACCTATGCTTTCTTTGGGTCTGGTTTTCAGTTTCTTAATTTGCGTTCTGTTCTCTGTGATCCATGCTCAAAGTTCATGATCTGTATAAAAGCCTTGTGATTAACCTTTTAAAAAAATGGCAGTCACCGTTTTGTCAGAAGCAAGACCTGATCTAAAGCCCACTGAAGTCACTGGAAAGATCTGCATTGAGTTCAGTGAGCTTTGGATCAAGTCTTTTGAGGTCAGGTTTGAAATCTTCAGGTCTCTGGGACTTTTGCCAGGCAGTGGGCCAGGGTTTGGTACTGAGCTTTCTTTCTCTATAGCAGCGTTTCTCAACCCATCGGTCGTGACCCAAAAGTGGGTCACAAGAATATATGAAAGGGTCACAAACAAACTTTAAAAATGGATTCTTCTTTAAACAAGAAAAATGTGGGAAATCATGAGTCTTCCCCTGCAGTTTGGTAGAGTTTCAGCTTGCAAGGGGCTGTTTGTGGCCCCTCATGCTCCACACACACCTCCCCCCACCCCTCCCTCTTCCCCCCCACACTGGGGGGGCTGGGGCCTGGGGGCAGGAGGCAGCTAGTTGGGAGTGAGGGGCACCACCAGCGCCAGGGGGCTGTTTTCTACTTAAACTGTTTACTGGGTTGGGACTGACCAGCAATGTTTACAAATGGGTCCAGGTACAAAAAAGGTTGAGAACCGTTGCTTTGTAGTGTATATTTCAACATCAAGCAACAATAATTCTTTCCTTAATAACACCAACTCCAAATATTTCCTTTAAAAATTGTATTTTCTTTACTACCCCATGCTGAAGGGATTGAAACAATTATCAATTGGACAAAAAAGTGATGTATTCTGTATCAGTATCCTAATTTTAATTTTACTTCATTTATGTTTTGATTCAGGTTCCAGCAGATGATGACTCTAGTCTCCTAGAAGGTGATGAAGATCTGGCAAAGGCTTTACAGACCATACAGGAGCAATCTGAGGATGCTCAAATTATAGTAAGCTTTCCAAAGATTTATATTTAGTAAGAATCGATTGGTAATAAAAATGATTTTAAATTGGCTTAAAATGTTGACAATATTATTTTATTTATTGAATATAATTGTGTACAGAGGATTACAGCATAAGTCTCTGGAAAAATAAAAGAGATGTGATAAGACTGTGTCAGACATAAGAACGCACAAATATATTTACATTCCCCACCTTTAAAACACTTCATTTACCTTATTGACTATTCTATTCATAGTTTATATATTCCATGTATTGCATTTAAAATATATAATAATTCACACCCTCCCCACACCACACTTGACTAGGATTTTCTTTTCTTATAAGCATGAATTGATAAAGAATCATTTAGGCCATTAGTCAGCAAAATAATTACGTATCCACTTACGGGCAGATCCAGGAGGGGAGGGCTGACTGCACAGTCCTTGCACAGGGAGCTGTTTGAGCTGCTGCTTTAGTATGGCTTCAGTGCTGCTTGAGTATGGCTCTGACCAACCTGTCAGAGGTGCTGCTTTAGTACAGCTCCAGGATCTAGGGGGTGAATGCTACTACTCCTTGTCTCCCCATCCTCTTGCCCACCACTATATTCAGCAGCAGGGGAAAAGGCTATGTCATTCAACTCCTGGGTTCTGGGGACGCACTGATAAGCCATTGAGCTCTGCTTACTGCCCATGTGCTGACTGCACCCCCTTGCATCTCTAGGATCCATCCCTGTATGCACTTATGACCTACTAATGCCTATGCTTAATGTTTTTAAATAAAAGTAGGATTACTCTTTTTTTTTAAGTTTAGTAACAGTCTAAACTGACTTGCCAGTTAAATTTTTATAGCCAATTAGCCACTAAATCTCAAATCCTGAAGCACTGTACATACGGTCTGTAGTAACCATTTCTTATCAGTTTAACTTGGCAGGCATTTATGCAGATGCCTCCATAAATAAACATGATTCCTCATGTGCTTAAAATGAAGCATGAGCTGATGTGCTTTGCTGAATCAGAGCTTTATTCAAATGAAATATTATTTAACATTTAGTATTAATTATAGATGTTTTTTATATTTACTCTTTGATTTCAAGCCAGTCATAGAATGGATGGAATTGTGAGTTCAGAAGTTATTTATGTTTTCAGATATATGCTTTACTTCAGTTTATTGGTGTAGTACAGTTGGATAGAAATATGTTTTTCCTCACCATCCATTTGTTATGACACAGGATACTGGGCAAGACGAACCTATGGTCTGACCCAGTAAATGGTAGTTCTTATGTTCTTATAACTTCATAATTTATTCCGTAAGTTATTACCAGTCTTTCAGTGTTTGGCAAAGGCAAACAAATATAATCATAGAAAATTTAAATGATATAAATAGTTCTCAATAGCAGATCCAAAGAAAGTAACATATTTTATTGTGTGCTTGTAAATAAACTCATCAGATCTGTATTCCTTCCTGAAGCTTAGATGAAAAAAAATGAAAATAAAAACAATCTTTAGTTGTTAAAAATTGAAAAACTACCCTTTTTCTAAGTAGTGGTAACACAATATTTTCTAATATTTACCTGCGCCTTTCCCTCCCAAAACCAGTTGGTAAAAAATGTAGTGTACATTATATGCAAGAAAAGGGATCCCCTTTTCAGGAGCCATGGCAATTAACACTGCCACTGCTTTCCTGCTGCCAATTTTCCAGACCTGTGAGGAGATTGTCCACCCAGATGATATGGCCCCATGTGATTAATTGGGCTGGTGCATGGGGTGAGCCCTGGAGCCAGTGTGCAAGGTCTGAACCGGCATGTGGCCAGCACATAGCCTTGGACCTGGGGTGTGGTTTCGGAATGGATTTGGTGTGCTAAATCCAACCCAGCTCAGACACAGGCGTATGGTGCCAGACTCAATGTGATGGAGACAGCTCATGGTGTTAAACTTGGAGCACAGACCTAAACCCTGTAAACCCAGTACACTGGGTCAGTCCTCATGTGGTGCATGGGGCTGGCAGCAGGCTTGGCTCAAGAGCTGCTGCTACTCAGTTATCAGGAAGGACAATCTTTTTTTTTTTTCTTTTCTTATTTTTTTTTAAATTCAGGCTGCTCTTCTGAAACAAGGTGTGGGCTGTATGTGAAAAAATACCCTTTTTGAAATTCTTCGGAGATCAGCTGCAGTTACATCTCTTTGACTATGCAAATTGACATTTGAGGAAAGAGTGGAACAATGGAGATTTTTGTTAGACTATTCATCTTTTGACAGTTTACAATTAGCTAATCTTTCAGCTGTTTCGTAGCTACTGTTTTACTGAGCTGTAAGACTGCCACATATACACACTGGATGTATGAAAACAATAACTTAGATTATATTCTGTATTATCAAAACAGCTGCAGTCTTTACAGTTGTTTTAAGCAAGTTGCACCGTATATGGTCAGTTTCAGATTGATTATGATTTTATCTTGTGAAAAGATTTCTCTTTGCTTTTAGTCTCACTGTTGAGATGTTCTAATTCTTTGAATTGTAAAGCATCATTTTGGAAACGTAAATTGTATTTTCAGGCTTTGGTTGGTATGATTTGCAATGGAAAAAAGAGGTATTTTTTTACCATGCTTGTTAATTGCCTGATTGCTTTCATAATTAAATGTTTACTGTATATTTTATGAGGAGTAACTACTAGATTGTTTAATGCTAATTTACTGGAAAGCCCAGGTGTTGCTGCAAGTGGTTTTGGTGACTCAGCAAGTAGCACTCTTCTTTCTGAATTAATACTTAATCAGTATCCCAACACTAAGTTAAGAAATACTAAAGGTGGTGATGTGTTCTGTATATAATAGAAAGCAAAGACTGAATATTTGTGATCATCAGATTCATCATAAATGTAAATGTTAGCCCTTGTGTCCAGGCTAACTTCCAGTTTACATTACTTAATGATTATGTCCTGCCATACCTACATTTCCTCTGAAGTTTTAGTTTGATTGTTGTACTTTGTTGCTTATCATGGCAAATTGTACACCCAGTTTTGAATTAAAGGCTGTATTTCAATAGTAGGTGGAATTATTTTTATTTTTAAATTATTTTTATTAAGAAAATGATAAAGAATGGACATAATTTTGTACACGGATCAAATTGAGATCCAAGCATAGAGTAAGCAGAACTTAGAATTCATGGTTAATTATTGTGTCTAAAACATTTATACGTTCTCTTATTGATAAGAATGTCAGGCATAACTGGTAAAATTTGAGAAGAGAAGAAAAACTGTTTTAAAATTTGCTAGCTAATTAGTGGTTTTAAAAACTAAGATCACTATGCACAGAACCAACCAGCACGTGTTACTATTTCCTATTTTAAGGGAGAGGAAAAATATAGGAGCACGGATTAAAGTTATGTTCCAGGAAAACATTGTGGAGCAAAAATGTCCTCTTTTGGATCTCTTTTTGAGTATGGTAGAGACAGAGAAAAAATATATAGGACTTATTGTGCCTCTCTGATCCCCTGCTGCCGAGTCTCAACAAGGGAGAAGACCCTAACTTACACCCTGGACATAAGTTCTCCATGGGGACCTGTTGCCAGTGGAGATCATAAGTATTCTCATTGTCCACCCATGACTAGACCACGAGTATAGATGGCTATACCCTGTACAGGATGGATTGAGTGGATAAAAGGGGCGGGGGATGGCTGTCTATGTCAAGGAAAGCTACGCGTCCCTGCAAGCCGACATTGGCACCCATGGTGGACGACTTGAGACCCGCTGGGTTAAAATCCGCGGGGAACATGGCACAGGGGATACTATGATGGGGGTCTTCTACAGACTCCCTCCCCGGAGTCAAGACCTTGACCAGGAGTTCACCAGGGAATTGGCTGAGGCTGCATGGTCCCAATGTGTGGTTGTCATGGGAGACTTTAACTACCCAGATATCTCGTGGGAGGAGCACTTGGCCAAATCCGAGTGGTTGCAAAGCTTTCTCTCATGTGTGAATGACCTCTATCTGATGCAGGAAGTCTATGGGCTGACAAGAGGTAAAGCGCTGCTCGACCTCATACTGGCAACCAGGGATGACCTAATCAGCAACCTAGCAATTGAAGGGAAACTGGGTGATCATAAACTGATCACCTTCACCATCTGCCGTAAAGCTGGCAAGTCAGTCAGTAATACAGAAGTCCTTAACTACAGGAAAGCTGACTTCAACAAGCTAAGGAGACTTGTCAGAGAGGCCCTAAATGGCCACGACCCAATGGAGAGGGGAGTTCAGGATGAGTGGTTGCTCCTTAAGGGAGCAATCCTGGATGTGCAAGCAAAGTCCATCCCGTCTCGGAGGAAAGGCAGCAAAAGGGCACAGCAGCCCCATTGGCTGTCCAGGGAACTGGTGGACCTCCTGCATCTTAAAAGGAAGACCTACAAAGGATGGAGACTGGAACCGCCACCAAGGAGGAATACTTTGCTTTAGTTCAGACTTGCAGAGAGCAAATCAGGAAAGCCAAGGCTGTGATGGAACTCCAGCTAGCTACAAATATCAAGGACAATAAAAAGTCCTTTTTTAGAT